GAGCAGAGAAGATGGAAGGAGTTGATGGGGCTCGGGCTGCCCTGGCAACAGCAGCATCGCAAAACCTCCACTCTGCTCTTCGTGTTTCTTTTTTCGTCTCGACACATCCTGTTCTCCATATTCACCTGTCACCTTCTCTTCTCTTCATCCATCACCTCTCTTTTGCTTTCCCATGCCTTCCTCTCCTTGCTTTTCCTATTTGTTTTTTTTCATTTTCTTGTCTCATCTACTTTCCCTTTGTTTCTCTTCCTACCTTTACTCTGATTTATTTTCCTCGTCCTTTCAATCGTCTATCATTTCCTCTTGACCTCTTTTCATTTTCTCGTCATATTTCCTATTTCTCACTTCCTCCCTTCCATCCACTTTCCTTTTTTTCCCTTTACTTTTCTGTCTTTCTGTCCAACCCCCTGACTCACTTCCCTTTGTTTCCTTGTCCTATTTCTTACCCTCCTTTCCTTTCCTCCCCATTCCTTTCTTTTTCTTTCCTCTCCCCACTTCTCCCTCTCTCACATTTCCTTTAATTGCCTGTCCTATCAATTATTTTCTATCCTTTTCTTCTTTTTCCTTTGCGCCACTGTTCTCCTCCCAGCCATTTGTTTTCTTACCCTATTTCTTTCCCTTTTGTTTCCTCTTCCCTTGTCTTCCCTCTTTTCTTTTCAGGTTGTTTCTTTTCCCCCGTCTACTTTTGCTTTGTTTGTCTTTCCTTTCCCTTTCCTCTTCTCCCTTCTTAGTTTCCTTGTCATACTTCCTATTTCTTGTCCTCTCATTTTCATATCACTATTCACCTCTCTTTTTCTTTCCTTTCTTTTCCTCCACCAACTTTCGTATCAGACACCATGTAAGAACCAGGCCTCTACTTTTTTAAATGATAGATATCTCACTCTGGGAGGAAAAAAAAGTGCTGAATTTCACTGAGTCAGTGGACGAGAAAATAAGACAACTTAGTTCAATCTGTTTGGAACCACTTTGTAAGCACATTATCTCCTCACCGCACAAGATGAACAGTGCCAAATAACACAGATCTATTGTAAGGCACCTCATTCCACTCGATTCCCCTCATGCGACGCAGGAAAAAAAAAAGTGTTTTCTATCCTCTGTTTTACAACAACAACAACAAAGCTCGTCCATTAGTATTTGTTGGGTTAAAACAGGTCTATAAATTAATGGAAACGCCTCCACACGATGTTGTTGTTTATTTTTCCAACTCAGATAATGCAAATGGAGGGAGCTGCAAAGGCCAGATACGCTGCAAAAATATTGTTCCAGTAGCTCTTTCTGAGATTCTATCGAATGCATTGTTTTTAGAATTTTTTCCGAATTTATCTCTGTGTTGCAGCGTTGTTGCTCTCTGTCATCTGTTTTGCTTTTGTGTGGATGATGCTCGTGCTGATCCGCCAGGCAGACAGAGGGATTTTTGCCTCTCACATGTCTGATGTTTTCCACTTATTCGTTGTTCTCATCTACTTGGGATCGTTTTGGAGTGTGAACGTGCCTCTGTGATGTGTGTGTCTATTTTTTTTTTTTTTTTTCCTTCATGTTCATCCCACTGGAAGGCCTTTCAGTTGGTTGTACTTGTCTTATTAAATAAAGATCAAGGAAGATAAATGAATGCCAGTGAGGAACGTGTCTTGCTGTCATGTCTCTGTGTTGTTTCTTTCAAACAACAAAGTGTGCAAAGTGTGGTAAACTTCAGGCAACTACTTCGGCAACTATTTCTGTTTCATCCAACAGCAAAACTCAGTACAGGCTGCGGACTATTAACGCACTTTAAAGGGGCAGTCCCACTATTTTTTTAAAAGTCCCTTTACTGGTCAAAGGGACTTTTATGCCGCTGCTGAAAGTAGCTGTACAGTGAAATCAGGTGGAATCACAAAGCTCAGAAACTACGTCTATAAAAAGCAAAAAACCAGACCTGATGTGTTTGGCTGCTACCCCCTTTGAATGAGCCTCCTTGTGCAACAACACACTGCTCCCAGGGCTCCAGCCACATATGAATTGCTCTCTAGAAGTCCTGTTCTGACCACTTACTTGTTCTGATTGCTTATTTGCAGTTTTACCATAAATCTCAAACTTGCGCAGAGCGTAAATCAGTATTTGAGTCACTATTAAAATGGATGGATATTTTGTCCTGCGCTAATAATGCTGAATTAGTCAACCTGTTTTGCACCACGGACCGGTTTCAAACAAGACAATTTTCTTTGGATCGGTCATTGTGCACATAACAAATAACAATCTTTTTTTTTTCTATTAAAAAAGTGTCATAAACAAATAAAATAATATTTTATTGCTCAATCTGTGTTTACTTTTTCTTATGTCTCAGCATCAAGTCTCTTCCTCTTTTCAAAGAACCTCTCCAGAGAAATTTGTTTTTTCATTAATTTTGGCAGCGATTAGATTGACGGCTCTGTTTAACGGACATGAAAACTGACAGTCAAGTGCGGGAAACACAAGTGACAGGAAGACAAGCTAGTCCTTTTTCAAAATAAAACACCTTGCAGACTGTGCTGGAAATAAAATAAACCAATAGAACAATTTCATTCTTTCTGTGTGGCTCGGTACCAAATGACCCGTGCCCGGTACCAGTTAACAGCCCCGTGGTTGGGGACCACTGCCCTAGAATACAAGAACATTTTCCTGATCAATCCCAGCTTTTCTCTATCATATGGGTTCTGGCCAGAAGCTATCAACCGCCACAAAAGTCTCTGCTATGGTGGCCCTTTGCTAGCTGACTCCCCACAATTCTATCAACTTGCCCACACAGAACTAGTCTGAGTGACCACCTCCCCAGGTCCCTCCAGTTATAAAGAGTAAGAGGTTCTACCTGGTGGCACAACCAGGTACTTGAGCTAATCGACAATACTTGTGTGTAAACAATGCTAAGTGTGTATTATCTAAGGCAATAGTATCTGACTGGATCAGCAGATACTAAATTAAATGACTTGTATCGGATCAGTAAAACTTCATCGAGGCATCCCTAACCCGAGCTGTGACGCTTGCCATCACATCAATGTGCGCCTACTCACAGAGAATTGAAAAACACACAAGTTTTGTTGGCTGTACCAGTGCAATTTCCACCCACCCTACTACCCAGATTTGGCTCCCTGCAACTTCTTCCTCTTCCCCCAAAAGATGGTACTTGACAAACAGGACTTCCAAGGAGTGTTTGAAGCAGATCAGAAGCTCTGGAGGTGGTGTACTGCTGCAAAAGAAGATTACTTTGAAGGAGATGGGAGCCAAATTCAGATGAGATTTTTTTTGCTTTTCAGTGGTGCACTCCAGATTGTCTTGATCTCACTTGGTATGGTTTTATGGCTCTAGATAAGGTGTGGAAAAATATTCCATGTTACTTAAATAACTTCAGGTGGTAGCAAAAACTCTGCATTACAAACTGGTAGTGTGGGGTTTTAAAAAGTTGAGGCATTTGTCAGGTATCAAGGGTCTCACTAAAATATATATTTGAGTAGCAGTATGTCAGGTTGGGTATAAAAAGAGGTAGTTCATACAAAAATGTCAGACTTCAAGAGTGCATAACACAGGTCTGGACACGCTGTTGGGAGCTGGGCTGTGGGATGATGACACACACCTGAGAGCCATTCACAACGATGCACATGAAAAGAGACAGAAATAGTTTTGTATAGAAGGTAAAAATAGAGCTTGACGTTCAAACCCAGTAATGGTGTCAGGTGGATGTGAATTTTACATCGTCCGTTCTGGTAACATATAAAGCAGATTAATACAGACAACCCCAGTTCTGATTATGTGACCGTCTGACAAGCAGCTCTGATGGAAAGTGTCAGCAGCTTTAAAGTACGTTGCTTTGATTTTGACCATTCTTTTTTTGTAATGTGTCTCTCACAAGAGTTAATGGAAGTTCAATAGAAAATAACTGGAGAGGCGCTTTAAAAAATTCATGATGACCTCAACGTGGCTTTTTCCCCCCCTTTGATAGGCAGTATTGCACTAGCTACTTGAAAACTGTAATGGATTACTCATTATATACAGCTCATTAAAAGAAGTTAATACCAATACTTTAAATGTTGTCCACTACAAAAAGTGATTTCACATCAATCTAGTTCTAATCACACAGAATCAGTTGACCAATAGTTGGGCTCCTTAGCCCTAGTGATTGCTGGCAGCACTTCTGAGGTCTTGCTTTCACAGCTAAGAAACTGGTTCATATATTGCCAATCTTAACAAACAGATAAAGAAGATTAAAGATACAATACGGTTGATCTTTTGTTTCTAATTTAGTAGAGACAAGCTAATCCCCACAAAAATGTAGCGACTGTGACGTCACCCACTTTGGAAACTGAGTGAACCAGTCTTTCACTGAGAACTATGGCAGTGACCTTTCAATCACAAGGTAGCCCTGCCCTCAAACATATGCTTTATCATTTAATTTACCCAAAATGGGATAATAATTTACTAAATACACAACATGCTGTATTGAAGGAGACTTGAAACTACTGATTAAAACTATAAACTCATTAGAGAAATCTCACTGAGGCAACAAATGAAGAGAGAAGTAGAGTCATTTTTTCATAGACTTCTATACAATCAGACCTGTGTTTGCAGCCAGAGGAGTCGCCCTCTGCTGGTTGTTAAACAGAATGCATATTTCAGACACCTGGCTTCAGTCAGTGGATGTGACAGATCCCAGACCAGTCTCCTCACTGAGCCTAAGTGGTGGTGAAGCAGCATCAAGCTGACCCTGTGATGTGTTAAAATAAGTGTGACAACCAGTCACACTTGTTTTAAGTGGTTGTAATACTGTGCAACAACACACACAAGAGGGCTAAAAATGGACTCCATGCATTCATGTTCACAGCCTCCACTCTGAATTGTGCATATCTGGAAAATTTGCTGTGCTATTATTTGCATATTGTCATTTCTGAAAGGAAAAGGTTCACATAAGCCCACTGCTTTAGAGAAATGAAACCAACCCAATCAAAATGTGATACATGTAATTCATATTAAATCAAGGCAAAAAGCAGTCTTACCTGTAGGATCTTGCATCTCTCAGAGTCACAGTTGATGTCTTCACAGGGATGAAACATGCCCAGTGTCACACAGTTCAGCAGGATCACCAACATGGACGCTCGCTCGAACCATGTATAGGAGAACAGTTAAGGAATACATCGCAGACAGACGACAGCAGCTTGCAGTGACAACAAGGAAGACAAGAACAACAAAAAAGAACATTTCTCTAGGCTTTCTCCAGTGACCTCATTATCCCAGCCTCATCTGACAAAGTGATGCACGTTTATCTCTTCGGCTCCAATTCACTATCAAAAACAGTTTTTGAGAGGAAAATGAGCCACAGAGGACTCCGGTAAAGAGGGAAGCCCACCTGTGGTTGCTCTGAGTGGCAGTCATTGCTCCCTTCTCACCCTGTTAACCAAAGATTTGTTTGCCAGTCATGTTGGTGTTCAGATTGTTAGCGAGGGAGCTGGATAGGCACTTTAAAGAGATTGTGTTAGGCACAACAAAGACAGGAGAGACAGATGCCGAGAGACTAGGAGGCCAGCTGAGAGGAGGATAGAGTCTCTGATATTAGAGTGAATGAATGTGAAGACATCTTGATGCATAGCGCATGAATTTTATTGACTGCAAAGGTCAGAATGGGCGATCCTGATGCGGTTAGGCTAAATGCCAGGCTGAGCAATGCCACGCCGATCAATGACGAGACTAAACGGAGATTAGGCTGACGCTGCTTTAATAAATACACACACACACACACACACACACTCTATGTCACATATGCGGGCTGCATACATACACAAACATAAATTTTACAATCAGCAACCTGCCTCCAGCCTGGTGTTAGACAGAACAGTCATCCTGGTCTAAATGTGTCATGTGTGAGCTGAGAGGAAAACAATGCTTTTCATGTGATTGCAAGTGTTTGTATGTCCGCACACAGTCCAGGACAAATGACCTGTCTGCCTTTTATCACATTAGCAGCCACTTGTTTATTCATCCCACCAACCCTTAAATGTGCTGGGTCAGTACGGCCCCACAACCGGCGGAAAAAAGCACAAGCAGGATGAATGGCGTCAGTGAAACCTCGATCTGTTTTGTACCGCTCAAAAGCAGCCACTACGGGCTCAAATTTTAAAGCAGAACATCTGGTAAAAACAGGCATGTAATAGAAAAGACTCTCAAATATCTGAGGTGAGTAGTCTTCAGATAACTTTCAGGGCAAGATGCAAATCTGTCTTAAGCTGTGTCCAATTCTATGTGAACACCAAGAGGTCACTACATTTATTGCATATTGCCCTCCTAAGGATCATAAATGCAGCAAATTTTAATAAACATACATCTAGTAACTCTCAAAACACCTGTCATGACCCAAAGTCTTGACCAGACAGAACTAACCAAGCACTTTTCAAGTAGCACCTATACACCTGCTTATGCATGCAATTATCAAATCAGCCAATCGTGTGACAGCAGAGCAGCATAAAACCCTGCCTACAGATCGGCTGCTCAAGTTGTTGTAATGCCCACATAAAAAAAGAATCTGATTGAGAATGAGGATTTTAAGCAGTCTCTTTTAGTCTACTCAGAATGTTGCCAAAAACAAAGGACACCCAGTGAGCAGCAGTTCTGTGGAAACAACAAAAAAACCCAAAAACCTGCCCTGTTAATGACCGCAATCAGGTTAAAATGGCCAGATTGGTTCAAGCAGACAGAAAGGCTAACTCAGACAACCACTTCTCTCTCTTTTTTTTTAAACTGGACTCTTTACAACACCTTGAGGCTACACACCAGAAGACCACAGGTTCCACTCCTGTCCGCCAGGAAAAGAAATCTGAGGCTGCAGCGGGCACAGGCTCAGAAAAGCTTGATGACTGGAAAAATGCAGCCTGGTCTGATGAATCTTGATTTTGACGGAGGCTGCAGATGGTAGGTTAGAATTTGATGTTAACAGCATGGATTCATGGAGCCAACCTGCCTTCTGACAGCAGTCCAGGCTGATGGTGGTGGATTGACTATTTCTTTTTTTTTTTTGGCACATTTTGGGACAGTTAAAGTTCCACCACTGCTGTTGATTTAACTCCTACAAACTCATCTTTGTGTATGAAAGTTGCACATTTATATTACTGAAAACCATCCCTACGTGCCTTAAATAGGCTTAAATGTAGCTATGCACTGTTGCTTCCTCTAGAACGCATAGATCTATGAAGCAACCATCTCAACCTCAGTGCATCTATGCCCACTTGTTGCAGCTCAAGCACACCAGCTCACCTATGACTCTGTTCTGTAAATCTACTGTAATCTATACAGTGGCAAGTTGTAATATTGAAGTAATTCAGGGACACATGTTTGAACTGAAAACCGATTCGGAAGAAGAATCATGATAAAGAAAACCTCAACCTGCCAGCTGACAGAATTGGCTCCTCAGGTTTGGAAATCTGAATGCATGTTTTAGAGAATGTCATCAGTACACGGCAGTTTCAAGGCGGAAATGCTCAGCCATGGCATTGGCTGCTTATTTGGCTAAATATGTTTCTATCAACGTGTAACAAAGACTATTCAGACATGTGAAGGAAACAAAAAAAAGAGGAAGCAATCTTTAATACCAATCATTCAGGGTTGGAATGCCATCGCATGTCGGAGTTATTGCATGTTTATGACTATGTGCATCCCTTCATGGCCACAACTGATCCATCTTCTAATGACTACTTCCAGCATGAAAACGCACCATGTCAGAAAACAAAAGACATCCGAAACTGGATGTAAGAAAATGACAGCGTGTTCAATGAACTTCAGTGGAAACCCTTGCATGTGGCATGACTAAACCTGAATCCAGTAGAATACCTATGGGATGGGGAGGATTCATAGCATGGATGTGCAGATGGCATATCTGCAGAAATAATGTCATGCAATCATGTCAGTGTGGAGCAGTAACTCAATGAAACCATTACAACATCCATGAAGCCAGAACTGAGGCTGTTTGAGAGCAAAGGGACGCTGTAATCAACATTAAAACGATGTTCTCAATGAAGTGTTTAGTTGTGCGAAAGATAGTGCCACAGTTTTTGTTGTTGTTTGTTTTGAATCGCTTTAATAAAATAAAATAAAATATTAACATTGTTCCATGTAAGGGCTCACCACACCAGCATTCTTTAAAGAGATATCCAGAGCGTAGGAGATGGAATCGCTCTCCAATCAGTGGATTAATTAGCTGTGGCAAAGCAAATCAGCTGGGAGTCAGAGCATACAGCGCAGGTCTGATGAGCTTTGACACACAGATTTGGATCATTGACCGACTGCAAAGGATTTTAACAGTGCTGACCTTTCAGACAACAGAAATCTGAAATGCTATGGTATTAACAGTGTTGCCTCATTCTGTTTTAAAGTGGTTTGCAGTAAGCCGTGAGATAGGAACAGATGGCACGAATGTGGGGAATTAACCCCTTTATGCTGTTTAAATATTAAACAAGCGGCTTATTTTCCAAAACTGCGGCCTGTGTCATTTGTACCAAGCATCCAGCAAACCAGAATAAATCCCACTGCCTCCTACGTTGGTCTGATGCTGGATATTGATTCGCATCTGACGTTAATTGGTGGATCATTCAGTGCTGCCACAGTCCGTCTGTAGAAGTTCCAATACTTTCCTGAACAGGAGTATTGAATAAAAGATGTACGTTGGAGGGATTATTTGAGTCTGTGACCAGAAGGAACCTCAGTGGCATCAGCTGGATAATGATAGTTGCATCTGGAGGGCAGAGCATGATTAAGTCACACACTGGAGGATACACAGAAAGTTCTGTGAGTCCAAAGGGATGCAATTAAAAAGATCAGTCGGTACAGAGAGCGGGATCATTAAACAGGAAACAAAAACTCAGACACGTGGGCTTCTGGTTTGAAAGTGGTGGCAGTGAAAGTTTGAGGGAGCACAAACTGTTGTTGACACACAGCGTGCTAGCAAACGTCCGCATTTAAGGACGGAGAAGGTGGGGCTAATTAAAAATAATGAGCTGCGTGGGTCGTCTGGGTAAGCTACTGATATCATCAACCGGAGTGAAACAGTGTCACTGCAGTTCAGAAAAATATCATTTTGTTATGGATATCCATCAGACTCCAGACAAAACTAATCACATCTGTAAAGTTGGTGGTTCTGACTTCACTTAAATCTTACTTTCTCCGTCCTATATACATATAATGTTAAAATTTCTGATATTTCTGATATTTCTGTAAAGCGGCACCAGGAGGGCATATGTGCTGTCATACACACATAAAAGGCAAACAACTGTCAATGCAGCAAAAACACATCATGGATACAGCTGAAGCACAAGCTGCGGAAAAGCGATAACGAGTGTTGAGGGAGGAGCAGATCTCTTAAATGGAGAGGAAGCACCACCGTAAGCAAAGCGCGGATCTGTCAGAGCGATCAAGGTATTAAGGTATTAATCATTAACAGGAGAACAATGCTACGGAGAGAAATGATTCCAGCGAATGATCCCTGTTGGCTGCTCTGCTGTATATTAAGTGCACTGATAGTATTTACTAACCCATTTATCAGTTTAACATTACAGCGTTACTTGGCATCGACCCTAACCGCGTTGTGTTTGCACATGGCATGTAATCGAGGTAGGAGTAAATGCTGCTTTCGCTGCTTTAATTGAGCAAGTTATTTTGACGTATGCACCGGCTGTGACGCCTTTCAAATGGTGAGCAGATTCCGACTGCTTGACACACCATGGGCATAGAAATGGTGCAAACCAAGCATTCAAGTTTTTCTATTGTCGCTGTATAAAGCGTTGTAACAGAAAAGCAATGTGGTGCAAAACAGATTGTTGCTAAGAATAAAATGGACATGGAAAGATAGGCAACACGTCATTTCACAGTAAAGTAGATGGGCAGAAATGTTGCATAATACTACACACAAGACCTAGAATTCAGACTTCATGTAGCTGGTTAACCAAACTGACGTTGACATTTTTAATAGCAAAGAGTTTACCAGAGTTTTCTCAGTAGGTTTGCTTTCTCACGTTTTCTCAAATAAAGATAGGCTGTTGAGCTTTCCCAATTACTATGGCGGTGTTGGTGGTCCATTACAGTTCCTTAGTCACTATCAACCCTCAAACTAGTTGTGTTG